ATGGTGTGATATTATTCAAAAAATTAAACACAAATGCTACAAAACTTACCAAGTAGTTTGCGGTCGGCTGAAAATGTTAAGAAGAAAATTTAAAAAATTATGTTGTTTCCAAATTATTTGTTGGAACTATTCCAGTAGCAAATGTACATAAGAGGCTAGGGAAATAAAATGAATTTCATATACTTTATATACTTTGTATAGCATATTCTGCAGTAATGTTTCAACTAATGATTGTACTTTACTTGTTGTTGCTATCAGTTTGTCTTTCCCTTTGTTTTTCTTTTATTTCGGAAACAGTTGTTATCAACGAAAGTAAATAAATAAAATGAAATATTTGAAAAAAACTATTTTGTATGAGTTTACAAGAAGGAATTAAAATGTAATTAATTTGTATATTGTATGTGAAAAAAGAACAAAACGGATATTATCTGGTAATAATTTCAGTATTTCAATACATCATTATTTTGCTTATATCAGCATCAATTGTCTCTTTGTCCTTTCTTTTGGTATAATCAAAAAGCAGGTTGAAGTCTGCATTTCTATCACAACAACGATAGGTCAGCGTTCTTATAATTTATAAAAAAAAAAAGGTCAAATATGGAATTAAAGAGTATCTTATATCCTTGAAAATAGATAATCTGATTGTCATATTGTAATTTTTGAATTTAGCGGGTGGTAGTAAATACAAAAATTACAATATGACAACTCTGTAATTTTTTTAATTTACTACCACCCGGTAAATTAAACAATTATGACATGACTATGACTTATGTTACAACCCCCCCCCCCCCCCGAAATAGAGTTTTGCATATAATTCATATATCTGTGTTTCAAGTAATAGTAAATCAAATAAAGTAAAATTTTAGCTATTGAGGATACACCAAAGGCTTTTTTCAAGATTTTCAACAATTCTGAGATTTTTGGCTAAGAAAAAGAATTTAATCACTACTTTATAATGCATGTAAAATTCTTAATAATTATGAAATGGTTTCCTAATTATTTAACAATAATGAAACATAAACACTACCACATGTGAATGTTCCGTAATTGAAGCTTCTGATTTGATCTGTGACTGCCTGCTCATGAACGACGCAATAAATTACTGTGACCACTTGGGGAATTCTTCACAAGCCACACAGAGGTTATCAGTAATTAAACTACAGGGACTCTAGATTTAGAGAAAGAGATCTAATAAATCACTGATGACCATAAAATAGGAGGTGGAGCTTAGCTCTTGCCATTTTGCTGGGAAATCATTCTGATTCGGAATTGAACCTATTTTACTTAATTTAAAGCATCTGAATACAGAAAAAAAACCTCCCATTCTTGTGAATATGCATAGGAAATATGGCTAAGTGACAGATATCCAAATCCAATCTCCAAGGTGTCATATATTCCTAGCTTTGGCAGATTTTGTTGTGTAATGGGTTTTTGCCCTCTACTGTAAAGTAAGATCAGACAGTTTGTGGTATTATTTCAAAGGATTCAGCTCCCTTATTTATAGACCAATTTCTTTGAAAAATGGATGGGTCGCTTCTCAAATGTGTGTTCACAAAACCGTATCTCAGATTTTTGATATCTAACTTAGTTTTGAAATTATTGAGGAAAATGTTACATTTGTAACATTGAAATGCAAATGACTGTAACTTTTGAATTGGAATATCTATCAAAAGTCTGAGATACAGTTTTTAAGTTCAATCTTTAATATACCTTGAGGCAAAATGACATCTTTGAGGGGTTAAATACAAAAAAGTGGATTTAAAAAATACTTAGGCACTTAAATTTACATTAATATTTAAATAATTTTTAAATGAGTTATCAATTAAAGTTTAACTAATAATAAGATAATCAAAAAGTAAATTTAACAAGCTTTCAAATGATGTATACTATAAGTATTATTATGTTATATTTGATAATGAAAGAATTACATGCAAATTAAATTCTGGTATTTGGAAACCTTTGGTGTATTCTTAAGAAGGGGTGGAGGGAGCGAAGCGAGTGCATCATTTAATAGAATATTGAGCGATTGCTGATTGGATGAAAAAGTTGGTTATTTACTACAGACAAATATTTCATAATTATAGATGTTTGCACTGTAAGGAGAAAAAACGTTTCATATGAAATTTTCTCGTAAAAGCAGACAGATGGATATGTTATTTTTTTTGCTGATGTAAAAAGGATGCATAAAGACATAAATATTTATATTCTTTGAGGTTAAAATACACTGGTACACTCCTTTTTAATTTCCTGCAGAAAGAATATTTATGTTGCTAAAGATGTACCGTAGATATATTTTTAAAACAGCTATACCAAAAACGAAAGAAGCCGGATGAAAAATTTAATTCAGAATTAAGATGTGATCTGTAAGTTACTTTTCTTTATAATATCTACCTTCAGAGTTCTACGGTACCTGTTTTGTATTTCTTTTTTTCTTTTTCATATATATTACAACTGCTTTGAAAAGTTGATAGAAACTGTTTTCGAGATCAGCAAAATTTATAACAATTTTTGCACTTTTTACAAATTATATTGCAAATATAAAGGAGGGTGAATTTCATACAATTATACGTCTAGAGCAAGAGACGGGGAACGAGCCCAGTTATGTTACCCGAAACAAAAACATATTCTTATTTTGCTGAAACAGTCCTTGCAAACAAAAATCAGTAGTACTTTTTAGATAGCGTTTTGTTTGTTAATTTAGGCGGAAATTTGAATTTTTAGTAATTACACAGCAATTTAAGATTTCAGTGGGATCTAAACGCCATACATTCATGGTCTTTCACCTATAAATACAAAATCTTTAAATTCTGTATGTGTGTCTTACATGTCCTAACAACCATTTTTATTTACTTTGTTACAGCTATGGAGGCTCATCAAGGCTATTGGAAATTCATTTTTATATGAACACTATGAAGTAGAGTGTACCTTAATAAATATACCTATGCTCAATTATGACTTTGCTACATACTTGTTTATGAATGGTAAATTAATATTTTTTTACGTCTAAGGGAGAAAAAAATATTGAATTATTCTTGCCATTGACTTATTGCGAACTAACGTCTTGTGAAGATAGAAAACTTTTCTCCCAAAGTGTTTCATCATTTTCTGGCAGTTCTCTTTTTTTCGTGTTCATAACATGTTATGGAACACCTAGGGCAATTCTGGTTGGCTGCTTACATTTTGGCTATTTCTAATTGGCTACTATACTTCCGCGCGTGTCAGAGTAAAATGACAAGTCCATGTAAGTATTTGTTAGTTGCCGACAAATTACTCAGTCGAAAGGGGAAAAGTCTATATGATGTTTACGATATAAAGATTACAACTCTCAGTAGAAAACAAAACAAAAGAGCTTCATCGAGACAGGATTTTAAAATCCATAACATTATGAAACGGCTTACAACTATCGATGAAAGACATGTGGTGCTATTGAAAATAAAAAAAAATCAATGATTAAAGACCACAATGTAATGAGAGCAAACATAAACTAGTTTTTAAGTCTTTACGCTTTTCTGTGATGTAAAAACTCAGTCTCGTTAAAGCCAAGACCGACAAACCCTTCAGCGAGCAAAAAGGACCTTTGAAAACACAAGAGATGGGACCGGGTTCATAGAAAAAGTAAGACAAGAGTAAAGATCAAACTGCAAGGTAATAATATCAAATATCATTATACATTCCAAAAAGTCTTTTACAAATGATGCACTTACGAAAAAATATTGAAGTCTCTCCGGTGCAAAAGTTATGGCCAACGTTAAATTTTACAAAAGAAGATCAAACTTCTAAAAACAGACAAAATTTGAAAACAAATACTCCATTAATTTAAAGATCACAGGGGGCTAAGGGCGGGTGTGACGCCCGGTCCACAAGGAATGCTTACTCCTTCTATGAACCCAGTCCCATCTCTTGTGTTTTCAAAGGTCCTTTTTGCCCATTTTTGTATTTGTTTTTTTTTGTAGGAGTTGTGATATTGATGAAGTCTGTGTTTACCTCATTGTCACCGTACCAACAGCTTACTGATGGCGAAATCTAAGCATTTCGAAAGAGTTGTTATAGGAAGTAAGCTTTGCCCGAAGATTTAAAGATCACGGTCAGCTAGTTTTATCCCAAAGAGGGGTAGAGTTGGTTGAAATTTTCTAAGTCTAGTTTTTTTTAATTTTATTGATTATGCTAAAGACAGCATCCGATGGACCTTGTTCAGCAGTTTTTTTTTTCACTAAAGAGAGATGGATACTTATAAACATTATATATTTTATTGAGGAGATTGGGTACAAGTTTGTTGGCATATCCTTTTTTATGTCAAAACAGGTATAAGTGGTTTAATATTAAATTTTAATAAAGTGTTCAATCATATGCAGCTGTTGAGGGGTTTCAGAATTAAATGGTGATTATCGCTATAACATGCATGCTTGTACATTTCTGTGGGATATTTATTATCGACCTCTTAGGAGTAGCCAATGTCTTCCTCAATAGGATTGGAACTGAATTTGAGATTTAATATCCTCGGGGCTTGACTTATAAAAATTTCGAGTAGACATATGCTTCCTCATACATGTAGCCCAATTTTATATATTGTTGACCTTTAAATACATAAGATGGTTTGAGGCGTATAATGTGGGATTGCTAATCATTCAGATAAGGATTATTGGCTCTATCATAGTTTTATAACTTCAATACAGTGTTTTTTCTACAAAAATATGTACGTTTGAATTCGTCTTAACACGAAAATTTTAAAATTTTGAAGTTACATGTACATGTAGTATGAATCGTACCTTGTCTAAATTTTATAAGATATTGCACCAAAGATGCATAAAAAAGTAAGAAATGATCCCTCAGATAGTACTTGTGGTTTATAATTTCCTTAAGTATAATCAGGGTCAAATTTCATTAAGGATTTTCATTCTAAATTCATTACAAACTCAAAAATAATCAATCGTGCAAAAATGTTGCAACGAGAGATGTTTCAGGTGTTGCATCTGATTTAAAACTGAAGTATTATAATAAAAATGTTGATGCTCCGCACTCTTCGTTTAAGTGCTTTAAATGGATATAAAAGAAGGTATGAGTTAAACAATGACTTCAGCTAATATTCAATATGGAGAAATGCCTTTCTTGACGGTGGTTCTTAGTTTAATGGATCATGTTTTAATTTTAATCTTTTTAGAGGAGAATTAATGGCTGAAGAGGGAGAGCAGCATTTGATTGATGACAATGTGGAATTTTGTTCACATTGTGGAAAGAAAGTTGTCCTTCCATCAACTTCATATGCATGCACCATATCTTGTCCAAATACAATGAAAGATGGGAAAAGAGCACCACCTTGTGGTACAAGAATTGCAAATTTACAAAGGTTCTGTACGAAGTGTGGCTGGAAGGTGAATCCAAAAGCCTTCCTGTCCGGAGGTATAATGTGCTCTGGGTTCAAACAGAATGGCCAATGCTGTGATGCTATCTGGATTCCAAGTGACATATCTTGTTATGGATGTGGACAGACAACAGAAAAAAGTACTGTGCTCCAAAAGATTTCAAGTAAGGCGTTAAAAAGTGCGAGAGTATAAGTTACATTTACAAATGAAAAACTGCTTCTATGAAAGTTTAGGGAATGTATCTTTTACTAAATTGCTGAATTTGCGCAGATCTAGAATTTAATTTAAAAATGAATGTGTGCAAAATCCCCCGAAAAGAACTTGTATCAATTGATTTTTTTTTAAATTTAAAACACTTTTCTATTAAGATAAGATTTCTTATACATGTATTGCTCACATTCTCGAAGACTAAACTATTCCTGTAATTAGATTATTTGTACCTGTATTATCAAAAATAATTTGTTAAAATCTTTCACTCTCATTAATATTGTTAACGTCTTTCTGTTAACATTTATATATCTAAAACAATATTTATTTTTGTCTTTATTTTGAGATGCGATGTTTCAGATTTTGAAGGCAGCATCGGGGGTCTTTTGAGATCTGATATTGAAAAATTATGGAAAAACTTTGAGGATATTCAAAATGGACAGATAACCATTCAGTCTTTCAACTCAATACAAAAAGAACAAGAAACATTTCAAGCAAATATTAAGGAAATAGCTGAAAGAATCACAGATAATAAGTTTGACGAGAATTCCTTCATTTTGTCGATGAAGATTCGAAGAAAGGAAATGAGTCATTTTGAGGGAGCTGTAAATGACATTAGATTCTTCATTCAGATTTGTAAACACTTCAGTGGTAAGTAACTGTAATCATAGATGTTAAGAAGTTACGTTTATGGCAATGTATGTTTTCTGATCATACTGGGAACACTCAGAGCATTCTACTAAGAACTTTCTTTTCCCTTTATTAACGTCAGAATATATTTTTTTTCACGGGGAAACGAAATAAATTATTCAATGACACAACAAGCAAGATGCAATTATATATTTCTGTTGTAATGCAAGTAATTCTGTTACACTTGTATAAGGTGTAATACTCCAAGGTCTTTAATAAAATATAAATAGATACCCCAAATTTAAAACCATGATTCATTAAATTTGAAACATTATTGATGATGATGATAATGATTATAGTTATATTGTATGTTGTTATAAAACTTTTTGTATGTAATTGTCTTAATTGAAAGTGATTATTACTGAGATTTTTTGCGTTGCGTAGATGATATTCATATCCATCAGGAATGCACCAATCAACACTATCCCAAATTTAGTCAAGTAAAACTACAATTTTACAATTTATACAGGAATATTTCTAATGTAATGGCCAAACTTTCATAATTTTAATACCTCATGCATACTAACATAATTCTAAACGCTTGTTATTAATACAAACACAAAAGAAATTGCAAATGAGAAACCAGAAGTGGATTAGTGTAAGAAAATAATTTATATGCATTTTTTACTGTTATTTCCTTTTAGTGGAAACAGATAGATACAATACAGTGCTTGAGAAATTCAGTCAGCTAGACAACTTTTCCATCGCAAATTTGTGTCATCCTGTTGGATCGAAAACAATGCACAGCTTAGAATCATATGTACCCACCATTAGTGGTTTCGAAGTAGATGAAGAACTTAGCGCACACATCTTGGATCTTAAAAGGTAAAAAAAAACAACATTACATAGATTCTTAATTTGTGAATTTGTTGACCCCTGTCAATTAAATAAGGCCACATGGGAGAGCTAAACGTAATACATGATGTTTCGTAATAAATGTTACATTTTTAAATTGATATATCTTTTTATCTATCAAATTTTTTTAATGTACAAACCATGCCATTTTAAACACCAAATCCTACAGTTTCATTTTTTGTACAAAAAGTTCAGGAAATCACTGCATTAAAATGGTTATTTGTGATCTAAATACCGATTTTATAATTTGAAATTTTTTTTTCAAATTGGATAAAACAAATCAGCAGAAGATTGAATTGTAAACCTCTATTACCAATATAAATTCACCAAAAATCATTGAAAAGTTGATAAAGGGAAAGGAAAATTTCTAAAATAATTGACCATATCTGAAGTTACAAAGTTTGAAAAGACAGGGAACGACACATGCGATAAAAGACACGGCAATCCGGGAATACCAAGCTTAAGGAATTGAAGAACCAAAGTGAGATGGAAACGTTAGTTTCGTATTCTCCTTAGAAAAGTGTCAGAAAGATGTTCCAGAAGTTTATGCTGTGAAGACCAGCATTTTTAGAGTATACAGGGTTTTTAAATATGACATTTAACACTGTACAAATTTTCAATAATGCAACACCTCAAAGGAAAAGTTTGGCCTCCGCATTCGCAAGGTCTCAACCCTATGGAAATATTTCTGTGGTGGTTTCTAAAGGACAGGGTTCATAATCTAATCCTCTGAAAATAAATTAACTTTTAAAATATTAAAGCTTCAAATGAGGAGTGTCTCTGAGGAAATATATGACACTATTGTTAAAAATTTCAAAACGCGACCTACCCTTGTCGTTGAAGGAGACGATGATCATTTTAAACATGTAAAGTGAGTTTTTGATTTTGTGAAAAATTATAATTTAGAAATTTCTCTTATTTTTACTAATGGCTTTCTTCGACGGTTTAATATATTGGTGGATCATAAGATAAAATGAATCTAATTGATACATCCATTAAATTGATGAAAACACGCGTCTGTATCTAATTCTTGCAGACTCAAATTATAACATATATTATGGAACACCTTGTATATGTTGATAAATTTCATTTTTTTTTCTTGCAACCATCTGGGAAACAAATGTTTTGGGTATTACTCAAAATATTCATTCACCCTATACTTACAATACATTTTTTGTACATAAGAAAACAGATGCTGAAGTAAATCATATGATGGTTAAGACTTTGGGCCTATTTTCCTACATGTGTATGACAAAAATTGATATCGATGATATGCATTTATCAGGGGGCCTCTGTGACATCAAATTTTTTATTGGTTACACGTAATGTCATTAGACTGTAATTTTGCATTTTATTGTGTGCTACTGTTTATTTCTTTAAAAGAGTTTTGTATTGCTTTAAATTATCCACATTCTCCTATAGAGTAAAAGTGTGAAGGGAGCTTACTCCTATATATTGTCAATTGTGAGATGAATTTAAGCTGAGATTGGAATAAGTTGTTGAATATTCTGTTGTTATATTGTACTCAGGATCAATTTAATTTCCATTTTAAAAATTATAGGTAAAATTTCCACGTGATGTTACCCGTGAATATTTAAATGAATGAAAAAAAACAAACTTAATGGCTCGGATATCATTGTGCTTACAAAGCACCGCTCAGGTGTACTGACCCCTTTCAAAATGCCATCTCTATTTTCTATGCAACTGGGAATGTATTGATGAAGATACTATTATACTATTATACAAACAAAACTGTATTAAAAATATATCACTCCCAATTTGCAATGATTTATTTAGATACAGCAGAGAAACACTTTTCGTGAAATTGTGGAAGAGAAGAGGTGAAAAATGTGTTAGGGATAAAACGGGTATTCCCCTGACAATAGAAGAAGTGATATCAAAGGTCTGGATACCAGTGTATGAAGATTTGACTATTGCCAAAAGAATACAAAATGGTACCATGTTCTTCAGTGAGTTTCAAAAACATTACAAAAAGAAGACAGGGGACAATTTGATAAATGACCTGAGAAGTTTAGCAGCTGATGTTAGCATAGATTGGATAAATGAAAGAGTGGAGCAACTTCTGATGTACAGAACAGTACAGCAATGTGTGGAGGGAGCCAGCACCATTAAGAATGTTGTAGACACTTATGGTCTTGAGGGAAGTTTTGAGCATCTCAGCATGATACTGGAACTGGTAAATAAGATTTGTTGGCTACAATTATATTATATTATAGATAAAGAAGAAACAAGAGGCCCAGGGGTCACAATACTCCTTTACTAACCTATAGTTAAGGATGTCAATTTATATTAAAAATCTCAAATGTCAATTTATGTTTCACAAGTTTAAAATATACTTAACAGTTAAAACTGTTTTTTTGCAGTGCAAAACTTCATTTATCTGATAAACACAGTTTCACGATTTTTTTTAAAGATGGCTAGCAACTCTAAAGTATACTTGAATCTGAAAAATATATAATTTCATCATTAGTGAAATCATGGTTAACAAGTCGTTGATGAATATCAAATTTTAATTATATTTTACAAATAAGTTCATAGAATGTTTAATTATATCTTACAAATAAGTATATAGAATGATATAGTTCCAACCATTTAGTCTAGTTTTACTGACCTAGTTAATCAACTGTAAAACTGTGCTTGGCTCTTTTTTTTGTGAATATGCTGTGTGTTACAACGCGAAATGTTATAACAACGCAAAATGTAATAAACCGTGATTATTGCATTTTGCGTTATTACATTTGCGTCGATATCAACACATAATGTAATAACGCTAAATGTAAAAACAGACCTTTTAGGATTATTTCATTTTGCATTATTATATTTTGCGTCGAGCTCAACGCGAAAAGTAATAATGCAAAATGTAATAGTACGATTTTTGGATTATTACATTTTGCGTTGAAATTAAGCAAAATGCAACAACGCAAAATGTAATAATACACTTTTTGGTCAGTCAGGTTGAGAATAATTTTCAACTGAGTAGGAAAAATAAACATATTCTAATTCTTACATTAGATCCTATTTCACCATATATTGATTTCATTAGCCATTTAAAATCAGTTGATATTCAAATCATAGGTATTGCAAATTAGAAATGTGCGTGCGCACGTGTGTGTGTGTTGGGGGGGGGGGGTCGGGAGGGGATTTTGTTGTATCACTTTGTTTTTGCTTTTTGATAGGCACATGCATGAAATTTAGAAAAGAAATCTATTTTTTTTACTGGCAGTTGTAAATATAGCGGGGAGGGGGTTTCTTGACAATTAAGATTTCATACTGTTTTACAAATCATGTGCATTGCAGACCAGCAAAAATAAGATTCTGTCTCTCTCTCTCCAATAACAAAATGGATAGTTTCTGCATGTGCATAAAAATACAATGATCAACATACAAAATAACTCCCCTCCCATTTCTCCTCGCCAGACACTAATGTACACATGCATGTCGTACATGCATATCAAGAGCTTTTAATGGACCAATGGTCAGTCTTTGGTATTTAAGAATGTCAAAGATGGATATTTAAAACAGACTGATTTTTAAATAGACATGTCGATCAAAATTAAGTTAAAGTTTTATAAGTATTCAATAAAAATGTTAGAAACAGGGTTAGAAAAAAATACAATTAGATTTAGTAATGTCCGTAAAAGCCGTTACGTATGTCTCATAGTCATAGGTCTGTATGTCATTTTGTAAAGCGAGTTTCCCAATTGTTTTATGTTTAAATCAATTTTATTATTCATTGCGTTGAACACAATAGAAAAAATAATTATATTTTGTTTTATTACATTTTGTTTTCTTACATTTTGCGTTGTCCTCAACACAAAAATTAAGTAACGCAAAATGTAACAACCAATAAATGAATTATTACAGTTTGCATTAATCCCAAAGCAAAGTGTTATAACGCAAAATGCAATAATCAAAAAATCGTGTTATTACATTTTGCGTTATTACATTCTGCGTTGATCTCGACGCAAAATGTAATTATCCCAGTTTATTACATTTTGCGTTGTTATAAATTACATTTCGCGTTGTAACAGCCGTGCCAAACACATTTTTATTAAGATCCGACCTTCATAGAACTTGTGATAAATGTTGATCTAAATTTGATTAAATAAATACACTAGTATTTGTTTCACTTAACAATAAATTTCTTTTTTTAATTCATAAAATGAAATATGAAGATAACGAACAGTAATCAAGCTCTTAAGGATGGATTCTTCTCATATTTCTTATAATGGCAGAATCTTGATTTTCTGAATACTCAATATTCAGACTGTTTACACTATTTTAACATCCAAAAACTTTGGTGTCATCGGCCTTGATTTTCAGTCAAGGTCATTTGAAAGTCAGTCCTAAAAATAGTGCTTTTACACAGAGAAGTTTTGAGATTTATGCATATGAATAAATTTTGCTGACTGAAAAAATATCTTTCACCATAAAATTAAAGTTGTTACTTATTTTTGATGACCAATTCATATGAAATGAGCTGGTGAAAAGATAACGTGAAATCCTTTATATTCAGTAAATACATTTAATCCGAATTTCCTCGATATTTTTTCAAAATTCTCAGTTTTCATGAATTCACATGAAATTTCATCTCAATTTTTACAATTGACCATATAATGTCAAATATTTAGATTTTTGTCTGATGAATATTCAAAGGTTCAAGATTAATTTACAAGGTAAAAAAGATATAGTAATCAGGCAAATTATCAAAAAAAATTAGCCCGAATTTGCTCTATACTTTCTTAAATCTTCAATTTACAGAGTGTTTTTAATGTCTATAAGAAAGATTTTTAATCCCCAAAAATATATCAATTTGGTGTAATTGTGACATAAATACATTCATTTCTACCAGTTATACATTCTATTTTTATGGTATTTTACACTAATGATATTCAAAATATTCATTTCGAATTTCCTCTGTCATTTTATTCTTATGAATGTTATGTTTGACAATTTTATAAAATACATCAATTTTCTAGTGGCAATTACAGAAAAATTATCACATACATTCTTCACATGCACAGGACTAATTCAAAGCAACTTAACCTTCAATATAACCAGGAATAAATAATAAACCTTCCAAAAAGTTATGAGAAAAATCATACAAAAAATTTTCACAGACTAGAAAAGATTTCAATACATTATTTATGACATAAACATGAAATCAATATACATGTATAGTGAACATGCCATTCAATGCTAAATATATGAATATCAGAGGGACTAATATACATGCCTATACATGTATATGTCGTTATATACATATAGGTCCCTGGTATTATGTTATTATTGGATATTTTACATTTGTAAACTGACTTTTGAAAACAACAAGCAAATTCAAAGAATTGTGGTCCCCTGCTTTCAATGTCTTAGTGGATGGGATGCCATTATTTATGGCATATTGTAACTGTCTTGTTTGTTTGTCCTGTGCTATCTGTGCATCATACAAAAAGACATAAATTATTGAATTAATAACAGTTATGGAAAAGACTTTAGCTTCTCAAAACTACATCAAACTTCAAGATCAAGGTCATGAGGTCAAATATCATAATAAAATCCAAAGATCTTCTCACAAGTGATGCACATGTAAAAAAAAATATCAGAAACCAGAGTATACAATCAGAAAGGTCTTGAAACAGGTAATGCACATGTCAAATGTAAATACCATATCTTCTCTCAATCAAGCGTTATTAGCAATGATAAACTTTTCAAAAATTAGGTCAAACTTCAAGGTCAAGGTCATGGGATTAAATATCATAGTACATCTGGAAATGCTTGTCACAGGTAATGCACTTGTCAAATATGAATGCCCTATCTTTGCTCCTTCAAAAGTTAGAAAACTGATGAAATGTTTGAAAATTAGGTCAAACTGGAAGGTCAAGGTCATAGGGTCAAATATCATAGCATATTCAGAAACATTTTGACACAGGTAATGCACTTGTCAAATATGAACACCCTATCATATGTCATTCAAAAGAAACCACCAAATATAATTTTTTTTGAAATTTAGGTCAAACATGAAGGTCAAGGTAAAGGGGTAAAAAATTATAGCATGCTCGGAACACTTTGTCACTACTAATGCACATGTCAAATATGAAAGCCCTAACTATTCTAAATCAAAAGTTATAAGCAAAGATAAAAATTTTGAAAAGTAGGTCAAACTTCAAGGTAATGGTCATGGGGTCAAAAATCATAGTACATTTGGAAAGGTATTCTTACAGGTAATGTTCATATTTAATATGAAAGCCCTATCTTTTCTCTTTTAAATTTAATGACCAAATTAAAGAAATGTTAATTTTTTGAAAAGTAGGTCAAACTTCAAGGTCAACGTCACGGGGTCAAAAGTCATAGCATAATTTTGAAAGGTCTTGTCACAGGTAATGAACAGGCATAATATGAAAGTCCTATCTTTTCTCATTCAAAAGTTATGACCAATTTCAGGTAATGTTAATTTTTTTGAAAAGTAGGTCAAACTTCAAGGCCAAGGCCACGGGGTCAAAATTCACAGTATATTTGGAAAGGTCTTGTTACAGGTAATGTACAAGTGAAATACAAAAGCCTAATCTCTTCTCACTCAAAAGTTATGGCCAAGGTTAAAGTTTTTGTGACAGATAGACTGACAGACGAATGAGATTTAATGTCCCCTCTCTTTCGCGAAAGCAAGGGACAATAAATACCTACACACATTTATAAGTATATAGTTTGTTCAGCACCAATAAATATAACTCCTCAATGTGATATGATATATTGCGTAAAATTTGCTGGAGTTTTAAGATAACAAAAAAGCCATCTATGACAATCAAATGCCCTTTGACATCTTTGCCTGAAAATGACATCCTTGAACTTTGTAACAATAATATGCATGCAGCTATCAAACTTAATTTCACATTTAGATTCAAAATACTTATTCAAGGATGAAATTTCTTTTTGAAAATTTGTAGCACAAACATTTATTGATCAGTGTCAATAACTTGTATTGAAATTGAATTAAAAATTACCTCTTGAGGGTTTCTACTGCAAGTACTTGTATATGTAGTTCATTTGTAAAAATCTAAATTTTAACCCAGCCACTACCAGCAATTTTGTTTGGCATGCTCTTGCTTAAAATCACCCTTTAACTAAATGATCTAAAGCAGGCACATTTTTATGCATTCCAGAACTGTATTTTAAGATTTT